TCCAGTGTTTGGGTTATAGATTGCAGAAGAAAGGCCTGAGCCAGAGTCCTCCCCGAAAGACAAGCAGTAGCCCAGGAACTTTCGACAGCTTGAGGACAAATGGCTGGAAATTCTTAAAGGGGTAATGGTGGAGGGTGCATCTGATAGAGACCAAAAGTATCCTAAGATTTTGAGACACATTATCTCAGAGATGTGGAAGCTGAGGATGTTAGCTGTGTAACATCCCAAGGTGTTGTGTGAGACTTTAGCTTTCCTTCAACCCTTCCATTTTCTTCCATGATTGAAAAAAAAATGCCTTTCGTTGTGTTTTTAAACTACATTTTACCTAGATTTTAAAAAATAATTAAGCCATATAGTGCTTGCTATGTGCCAGTCATGATTAGGTATTTTGTTTACATAATTAACTGATTGATGCTATATTGTATACACTTTCCCCTTTTCAGATGAGGAAATTGAGCCCTGGGAGGTGAAAAAAACATTTGTTCAAGGACATAGACAGTATGTGCAAGAGCTGGTATTTAACCCTGGACTTTAGCTCACGAGTCTCCTGCTCTTAATTCCCATTATCTACTGTTTCATCTTATAATTCTATTAAATGAGAGATCACACAAAAATGTAAAACACAGTGTCTGTACATAGAAGGTGCTCAACAAATTTTAGCTCCCTGTGTGCAAAAATGTTGATTCCTGTGCTTACTTCTAGGAATGACAGGATCCATTATTGCTCAGTGGTTAAGATTGCAGACTATAGCCTGGGCATCTCTACAAAAATACCAAAATTATCTAGGCATGGTGGAATGCCCCTATAGTTCCAATTACTTGGGAGGCAGAGCTGAGAAGATCACTCCACTGGAGCCCAGATGATCGAGGCTGCAGTGAGCTGTTATCACAAAACTGCACTCTAATCTGGGTGACAGAGGGAGACCCTGTCTCAAAACAAAGAAAAAAGAAAAAACAATTGCAGGTTCAGTGGTTAACCAGCATTGCCATCCCTCACTAGCTGTGTGGTCACAGGCAAGCTGCAACCCCTATGTATGCCTGAGTGTCCTCATTTGTAACTGGGAATAACCAGTGTAGCTATCTCTGTGAGGTTGAATGAGATATCACATAAAATTCTTATACAATTCTTGGTACATAGTAATCACTCACTAAATTTTGTTGTTATTAGGGAGCTTATATGGAGTGATTTAACACCCAGTATTCCACTGGGAACACAGTAGACAGTAAATAAATATCTGACAAATGACTGAATGAATGTATGACTTAATTAATTTGCCCAAGTTTGATTTGCCCCAGGGATGACTGGGGGCCAGAGAGGTTGTATAACATTTTCCTGCTCCCTGAAGGATACCAGGATGACTCAGCAAGCCTTCATCTTGGCATTTGACAGTGATACGCTAAGCTGTTTGGGCACTGTCTGACTTTGACATGATCCAAACTGTGACACATTTCATGGTTTTAGACACTGACAAACCCAAGCCAGGCCAGCCCCAAGGTGTTGAGAGTTGCTACAGATAGGGGTGTAGCCAGAAGAAAATAGAGTTCTTTAACATTGCTCACGAAATGTAATGCATGTGACTTTCAATGACCAGGTCTCACTCAATTACAATGATTTCTTTTTAAAATGTCTCTATAATAAAGACATTTGTTCTTATTATATAGAACACACTTATTATAAAAGAACATGCTGTTCCTTTGAGATAGCATAGGTCTGGGGAGTCTATTTAGAATAATAAAAATAAAAGAAAAAAGTAGGTTTAGTATAGCTGTGGTGTTTTATGTACCTGATTCTTAGATAATTTTTGTATTATTAAGTATTTGAATCAGTGTATTCTATTCATGCTGTAGTTTAGTAATCTAATAAATATTTATCGACTACCTACTATATCCAGACACTGTTCTAGGGATTGAGGATGTACCACTGAATAAAACAGATCCAAATTATGTCAACTAGGCTGCACAATAGAAAATTTAAATTAGAATTATATTCCTTTGATGTCATAATACTTTTCTGAAAATATGTGAAGTTGATCATCAAATTTGATGACGGAAATTTTGATGGTTCTAAGTCCCTTATCTCTACTAAGTTGAAAATACAATTGAAATATGTTATTGCGTTTTTTAATAAATCTATTTATTAAATTGTGGCTCAATTGTGCCTGGCAAAATATGATAGTAAGACCTGGTAAAGTTAATAGAGCTAGTTCCTCTAAACCAGCATTTTAAATATTATTTTTCATGGGCTGTTAATAGGTATTCAGCTTAAAAACAAAAAGTGGGTCAGGCGCGGTGGTTCATGCCTGTAATCCCAGCACTGTGGGAGGTCGAGGCGGGCAGATCACTTGAGGCCAGGTTCAAGACCAGCCTGGCCAATATGGCGAAACCCTGTCTTTACTAAAAATACAAAAAAAATTAGCTGGGTGTGATGGTGTGCACCCGTAATCCCAGCTACCTGAGAGACTTAAACACGAGAATTACTTGAACCTGGGAGGCGGAGTTTGCAATGGGCTGACATTGCAATCTGGACAACAGAGCAAGAACCTGTCTCCAAAAAAAACCCCAACAAAACCCAAAAAGCGATTTTCCTGCTTAAATAAGTTTGGAAGTGCTCCTGTGCCTCATGAATATGCAAGTATGCAAAATGACACTCAGGGTTTCATAAACCTATTTGATCACAGAATCATCTTTCCAGTGGAACTTTCTGTGGGACACTTGTTTCAGTGAACACATTTAGGAAAAAATATTTGCTAACCTTCCATAATTTATTTGCAGGACATAAAGGAATTATAGACAACAGTAGACTCATAAGAAAAACTGAAAAACACAGTTTTTCTTCTGGTTTTGTAAGACAACAGGACAGGAAAAACACGTCATAGATCATAGCCTTCCTTCCCAAAGAACGTCTATATCGGGCATGCATTTTTCCTCATGGCAGTGAGGCCGCCGAGTTGCTTTCCTTTCCATAGATGGCACCAACCTTAACTGGTGTATCTGACTTTGTATGTGGGACTGCCCCCACTCAACAGCCCACAGATGAGTCTTCCATTTCTAGGCCTTGTTCCCACTGCTGATTTTGGGAGCAAAGATTGTTTTGCTTGCTGAATAGGTAATATATTCACATGGTTCAAAATTTAAGATGTACATAAGAGCAAAAGATCTACCTTTCACCTCATTCTCCAACTCCTGAGTTCAACCAGTGTTGCTAATTTCTGTTGTATCTTTCCAGAGATATTTCACTCATATATAAACAACATATATGTATATATTTTATCCATCCATCCGTATACACTATATACTCTTTTCACATCTTTTTTCATCTTAACAAGTTGTCAGAAATTGTTTTTGACTAGTCCTTGAAGAATGTCCACATATTTTTCCGTAACGTGTGCAAGGTATTCCATTGAATGAAAAACATTATTTAACTACTACAATGTTGAGTAATGTTATTTTTCCAGTATTTTGTAATTGCAAAGATTATTGCAAAGAGTAACCTTGTCACATCAATTCACACGCTTGAGGGTATATTTTTAGTATTTGTTACTGAAGTAGACTCCCTGAGTCAAAAGTATGTACATTAGTAATTTTACAGGTATTATCAAATTACCCTCTTCAGGGGTTGTACCAAAAGGCACTCCCACTGACAATATATTAAAATGTCTCTTTCAGCTCCCCTAACAACAGTGCACCAAACTTTTTGATCTTTGCAAATCTAATAGGTGAAAAACAGTATCTTAGTAGAGTTTATATATTGAAGAAGCAAGATGTTTTATTTAATTAAAAAAAACTTTAGAAAATGTATTTAAGAAAATACTGCATATTTCCCTTGCCTTCTTGTGCAGCTGACACTAAGGCTGGTCTTCCTTTGATGTTTAACTGTTATTATTACCAGCGTTAATTCTGTGCTGTAATGTAGTGATGCCCGCAAGGGTGATGATTAACAAAGGTTTTGCCAAGAATGGGTCTGGTTTCTGAACACTGTGCCCCGATTGTTCTTCTGGCTACTTAATTTCTTTCACCTATTATTTTTTGTGTAGTGAATATAGTCCTGGTTTCTAATCTGTTTCCTTAATTAATACTTTATCATTTGAAGGAAGGAATGAAAGAGGTTCCTACAGTCTTCAAAATAATAATTATAATAACTACCAGTTAAGTGTCTTTTATGTTTCAGGTAGATGTTTATATGCATCATCTATAGCATTTTCATAGAGACTTTATAAAATAGATATTATTATTTACATTTTCCTGATGGAAGTAACCCAGGCTGCTACTGACAATTTATCACCAGGAGAGCTGAGATTCAGTGTTTCAATGGCCGTATCAACTCTTTCCTCTCCTTCAGAAGACAGTGTCTGAGCTTTGTGACAACTGTTTTCCACTCTGTTCAAAGACCTTTTTCTCCACTTATGTTTGGATTCCCAGATGTGTTCTTGGGACCTACAGTTACTCTGCCAGTGACCTCTGGAAGCACAGGGCACTGCTACACATTGCTTTACACTCAATATGCTTTTGAAGCCACAAGCTAGGAGTATCTTAATGTGAACCAAAATAACTAAAAAGCCAGGTCAGCAATCATTTTAGCAATAAATGTCTGCTTCATTATATTGTGAACTCTCTCTCTAATGAATTCCCCTTTCAAAGGATTTTATGTGAAGCATGTGACAAGCAGTATATTCTGTTTCTGAATTAGCAGGGAAATTCAAAGAGCTTGGCATCTGTGGCATGCAGGTGGCTGATTTATCATTTCCTTTCTGGCTAAGCTACATCTGAGGTTTCCTTCTTGTTACTTTATCACAAGATAGGATTTTCCTTCTTGACCACTGTTAGTATCATAAGAATATAAATGTCCAAAGCCCTGAAAAATCTTTTTACTTTTTATTTTGTTGAGTTATCTTTGTTTTCTTTCACTTATATTTAAACAACTAGCATCAATGCATTCTGATGTAATCCTAGGAGGAGCCCATTTTCCCTCTTGTATCTCAGTGTTCAATGTCTGTCTTCTAGGTTAATGAGAGCCGCCTGCTTCTGCACTCGGGATTAGGGTCTCCTGTGACAAGGAAGTAAGTGGTGGTGGATTTTTCCTGACATCTCCCTGAAGAAATCATCACTGCGTGGCTGCACAGCTCTAGCATACAGGCTGACTTAGAGGACAAGTTAGAAAGCACAGAGCCCCGGACTCATGGAAATAAGTCATTCCTTACACCCTTGAAACAAAATTTCTTAGAGCTTCAGAGAGGACAGTTCACGGGGAGGTGTTTGGTATATAGAAGCTATAAAATTTACTTGTATTCCCCTACTCTCTCTATATATATTTATACATATGTGTGTGTGTATATCATATATACTATCTCTCTCTATATATACACACACGTATATATGTATACATATATATACACGTATATATGTATACGTAGAGTATATATTATATATATACATATATATATTTTACCTTTACTAGCTCTTAAAAATTATTTAAATTCCCTTTTAAAAAAATTCTGTGATTCCCATTTTTGAGAGAAATTGTGAGTGACTGAGATTTTCTCTTTTCACTTCAAATTACCTATGTTGACTAGGTATCAGTGGCTTTTAGGTATATGGTTCATACCTCCACAGTCACTTTCAAACTTACTGTAACTAGGCCTTGTAAACAAAAGGCAGCAAACTGATGAGCTCTTTGGGAAATTGATACTTTCCTTAAGAGCAGAATAACCAATCATGAGGAGTGCCTTGACTGTTTTTTTAAAAAAAAAAAAAACAGAAAATAGTAACAACTTACTAATACTAGACCTATAATATATAAGCAACCAAAGCAGCCTGTCAGTTTATGTTAAAAATTCTAACTGGTTATTCCAGTTCAATTCCTTTTGCAAAGTACTTTGAGTATAAAAAGCCACAGTTTGTTAAAGTCCTAGAAGTAGAACTAATAATTTTTTACTAGTCTAGGATACCTGATCTTCCCTTTCAAATATGACTGTAGCCCTTGGTTTTACATTTAAAAGTTACTTTCCAGAAATTTACAAATACCCATTGGATCTGTTAAAAGGATATTTTGAATGTATAAGGTGTAGAGTCTCTGTAATATGATTTATGCATGCTTATTATACTTTGGTTTCACATAGTGTAAGATGTGATTACAAGGTAATGAAATGGGTTTTTGCATGTGACATGAGAAATTAGTTTTGTTACTTTATGTTTCAATAGTTTGACAGACATATTTTATAAAATAAGTAAAAGTTGCCAATACAATTGCAAAGCTATGATCTGCACTTCGATGTCCTATGCTAAAGAGGAGGCACAAGTAGAAATCATTTTTATGCTATGGGCACTTTGTACTGTCTAGTAAAATCTATGGACTTCTCCAAATAATTTTCTAAATTCTTTAAATGTGCAGATTTTCCAAGAAAATGAATTATGCTAGCATGGTGTTTATTCATTTTTCCCCACTATCACACTATTTGCTGCTACCTCTTGAATTGTTACCACAGACCCAGAAGCAGCATACACGGGTACCTCTTAGAATCAGATTGAAAGCTCTTTCTTTTAAGGAATGTATATATTTTTTGAGATGGAGTTTCACTTTGTCACCCAGGCTGGAGTGCAGTGGTGTGACCTCGGATCACTGCAACTTCTGCTCCTGGATTGAAGCAATTCTCCTGCTTCAGCCTCCCAAGTAGTTGGGATTACTGGAACCCGCTACCATGCCTGGCTAATTTTTGTATTTTTAGTAGAGACAGAGTTTTGCCATCTTGGCCAGGCTGATCTTGAACTTCTGACCTCAAGTGATCCTCCTGCCTGGGTCTTCCAAAGTGCTGGGATTACAGGTATGAGCCATGTAATCACCCAGCCAAGGAACTTTCCTTTTTAAAGATGTAGAAGAAAACCACTGGGCTAAGTGGTCTTTATATGCCACCTAGTTTAATCAACAGACATATCTATCAGGTAAAAACTATTATTACCCTCTCTTTACAAACGAGAACCAATGAATTCCAGGCACTACTCCACAATTAGACCATAAATAAATGGTAAAGCCAGGATTTAAACTCAGGTTTATTTGACTCTACAGCCCACACTTTGATTCCTATGCTATGCAAACTGTTTACTGCCAAAGTTACTCATAGCCCAAGGTTCTGTATGTTTAAGTTAACAAGGATCATTTCCCACCTTTTGTTCCAATTTCCTCCATGCCTTCATCTACTTTCCATATACACACAAGAACACTATGCACAGTTTAAATAATATAATCAAAGACCTCCTGCTTAGACTAAATAAAATTCAATCTAAAACGTCAAAAAAAATATGGGAGAAACCAATATTATAAGCCCAACTCTCAGCAACTTCCTCTCTACCCCACATACCTTCAGTATGTCTAATCTCTTCCTTTCTTCTGGCCCCTTCTGTTAGGAAGAAAGTTCTGATGATTGCTAACGTGTCCCTATGCTACTTGTATTTGCAACAAAAATGTATGTTTATGTTCTTTAGCTTGTTTCCTCTGCCTTTGTTAAAGCCATCTGAAGACAATGGCTTTATTTTATTTTATTTTTTAAAAAATGTATTTTATTGCACTTTAGGTTCTGGGGTACATGTGCAGAACATGCAAGGATTGTTGCATAGGTACATACATGACAATGTGGTTTGCTGCCTCTATCCCTGTCACCTATATCTGGCATTTCTCCCAACTTATCCCTCCCCAACTCCCTACCCCCCACTGTCCTTCCCCTAGTTCCCCCTAACAGACCCCAGTGTATGATGCTGCCCTCCTTGTGTCCATGTGTTCTCACATTGTTCAACACCACCTATGAGTGAGAACATGTGGTGTTTGATTTTCTGTTCTTGTGTCAGTTTGCTGAGAATGATGGTTTCCAGAGTCATCCATGTCCCTACAAAGAACACGAATTCATCATTTGTTATGGCTGCATAGTATTCCATGGTGTATATGTGCCACATTTTTCTTGTCCACTCTGTCATCGATGGGCATTTGTTCCAGGTCTTTGCTATTGTAAACAGTGCTGCAGTGAACATACGTGTGCATGTGTCTTTATGATAGAATGATTTATAATCCTTGGGATATATACCCAGTAATGGGATTGCTGGGTCAAATGAAATTTCTATTTCTAGGTCCTTGAGGAATCGCCACACTGTCTTCCACAATGGTGAACTAATTTACACTGCCACCAACAGTTTAAAAGTGTTCCTATTTCTCCACATCCTCTCCAGCATCTGTTGTCTCCAGATTTTTTAATGATCGCCATTCTGACTGACGTGAGATGGTATCTCCATCTGGTTTTGATTTGCATTTCTCTAATGACCAGTGATGATGAGCGTTTTTTCATAGGTTTATTGGCCTCATAGATGTCTTCTTTTGAAAAGTGTCTGTTCATATCCTTCACTCACTATTGAATGGGTTTGTTTGTTTGTTTGTTTGTTTCTTATAAATCTGTTTTAGTTCTTTATAGATTTTGGATATATAGTCCTTTGACAGATGGGTAGATTGCAAAAATTTTTTCCCATTCTTTTGGTTGCTGGTTCACTCTAGTGATTGTTTCTTTTGCTGTGCAGATGCTCTGGAGTTTAATTAGATCCCATTTATCTATTTTCACTTTTGTTGCTAATGCTTTTGGTGTTTTAGTCATGAAATCCTTGCCTATGCCTATGTCCTGAATGGTTTTGCCTAGGTTTTCTTCTAGGGTTCTTATGGTGTTAGGTCTTCTGTTTACGTCTTTGTTCCATTTGGTGTTAATTTTAGTGTAAGGTGTCAGGAAGGGGTCTAGTTTCTGCTTTCTGCAGATGGCTAGCCACTTTTCCCAACACCATTTATTAAACAGAGAATCCTTTCCCCATTGCTTGTTTTAGTGAGGTTTGTCAAAGATCAGAGGTTGTAGATGTGTGGCGTTGACTCCGAGGCCTCTGTTCTGTTCCATTGGTTTATATCTCTGTTTTGGTACCAGTACAAAGCTGTTTTGATTACTGTAGCCTTGTAGTATAGTTTGAAGTCAGGTAGCGTGATGCTTCCAGCTTTGTTCTTTTTTCTTAGAATTGACTTGGCTAGTGGGCTCCCTTTTAATTCCATATGATGTTTAAGGTGTTTTTTTCCAGTTCTGTGAAGAGGGTAATAGGTAGCTTGATGGGGATAGCTTTGAATGTATAAATTTTGTTGGGCAGTATGGCCATTTTCATAATACTGATTCTTCCTAACCATGAGCATCGAATGTTTTTCCATCTGTTTGTGTCTTCTCTTATTTCCTTGAGCAGTGGTTTGTAGTTCTCCTTGAAGAGGTCCTTTACATCCATTGTTAGTTGTATTCCTAGGTATTTTATTCTCTTTGTAGCAATTGTGAATGGGAGTTCATTCTTGATTTGGCTCTCTTTAAGTCTGTTATTAGTGTATAGTAATGCTTGTGATTTCTGCACATTGATTTTGTATCCTGAGACTTTGCTGAAGTTGCTTATCAATTTCAGAAGATTTTGGGCTGAGATGATGGGGTATTCTAAATACACAATTTTGTCATCTGCAAATAGAGACAATTTGACTTCCCCTTTCCTAATTCAATACCCTTTATTTCTTTTTTCTGCCTGATTGATCAGGCTATAACTTCCAATACTATATTGAATAGAAGTGGTGAGAGAGGGCATCCTTGTTTAGTGCCAGATTTCAATTTCAAAGGGAATGCTTCCAGTTTTTGCTCATTCAGTATGATATTGGCTGTGGGTTTGTCGTAAATAGTTTTTATTATTTTGAGATTCGTTCCATCGATACTTAGTTTATTGAGAGTTTTTAGCATAAAGAACTGTTGAATTTTGTTGAAGGACTTCCCTGCATCTATTGAGATAATCATGTGGTTTTTGTCTGTGGTTATATTTATGTGGTGAATTATGTTTATAGACTTATGTATGTTGAACCAACCTTGCATCCCCGTGATGAAGCCTGTGGATAAGCTTTTTGATGTGTTGTTGCAATCGGTTTGCCAGTATTTTATTGAAGGTTGTTGCATCTATGTTCATCATGGATATTGGCTGGAAGTTTTATTTTCTTGTTGAGTCTCTGCTGGGTTTTGGTATCAGG